CTTCTTCCTAGTCTGTCTCAATCTATAAGCTGGGCTGTTACCTGTGCACCAGAAATTAATACAAGATGTTTTTCTGCTTCTAAAGAACCAATTCCAACAACCTCTTTTATCAAGATATTAGTTGAAAGATGGTAAAACAGACCAATATGTTCATTTATCTTAACCTACAGTGATTTAAAAAGCTAAGAAAACAAAATTTAACTAGTGTACGCATCTGTCATTCTGCATACCCGATTCTTGTGTAGCCTAAGAGTGTGAGCGTATATTTAAAGATATGAACGTAAGTTTTTAATTTTCTTTTTGACTTTATTTTACTGCCTCTTGTAATTGAAAACTAACACAAAATGTAATTTATAAAGACTTACCAAAAAAACCAAACTACCCCAAATCCATTGCAAGGGCGGGATTTATCAGTAAGCATGGGCTCACCTATGTTTACTTACTATGCTGTTGTTATGTGCCGTTGAGGTTGGGTAGTTGAGTCTAGTTGACTCATAGCAACCCTTCCTTGGGTTTCCGAGGCAGTATCACTACAGAAGTAGATTGCCCCATCTTCCTTCCGAGGAGTGGCTGGTGGGTTTGAACCTCCAGCCCTCTGGTTAGCAGTCAAGTGCCTTAGGCACTACGCTACCAGAGCTCCCTACTAATCTGCAGTGAACATTTTTACATGGGTTTCACCCCATCTAAACTACATGAAACTGTTCATTACAGATTAGTAAGTATGGAAAAGTAAGCCTGTGTGTACCTTGCATATTGGGTAATCCAGCCCTGCCACTGCTATCAAGTTGATTCCTACTCATAGCAACTTTGCATAGTATGTTAATTTTTACATTATATGTGTAAGGATGTTCACCCAAAACCACAGTGGCATTTTATGTCAATTTAAAGCTATTTTTAAAATAATTTTGGCTACCCAAGATGTTTATGTTTACAACCTAAAGCAAATTTTAAAAATACTACTATTAAAAGTCACTTATATTAGTAATTCAGATATCTAAGATTCAGTTATTCAGTAAATATTTGATTGCATAATATACACCAATATTTACTTGGGGTGAGGGATACAAGGGTAAATAAAACATAGATCCTAAATGTCTTAGGAAAAACAAAAATGTGGCCACAGTGAACTGTACATACAGAAACTACGGACTTGGTTTATGTTTTATTGCATATATTCTCAACAAAAAAACAAATAAAATAAATTACAAAAAGTCACCAAACAAAAAAAAATCATTTTAAGAGCTAAAAAGGAAAAACAGGACACTGACAAAGAGAAAATGGAGGGAGCCCATCTTACACATGATCATCATGGAAATCCTCTCCATGAGGTGAAGTTTCAGCTAAGATAAACTATGCTGAGAGAATAGCATCTTGAGTTCAAAGAGAAGGCATTACTAACAGCAAGGCTCCTGAGCAAAGAGAATCCACAAACCAACCAACCACTCCATCTGTAGAACAGAAAAAGCATAAGATCTGGCATTAGACTAAGCTCCACCATTTGTCAGCTGTGCAACCATAAACTAATTTATTATCTGTAGGCCCATTTTTTCATCTTAAAAATGGGACAAAAAACAACCAGTGATTATAAAGTATCAGGCAGACAGTGTAATGCCCATGCCCTCAAAATCATTTTTAAATTATTCTGAAAGTTATCTATAAGAAATGGTTAAATATTTACCAATACTAGGATAAGTTTAAAAAAAAATAATAATATAATCAAAGCTTGCAATGGAAAAAAATACTAATCACATGCCTTACAATAAGTATTTGTGTTATGAAGTACTGCACTTAGAAACGTCAGTGTATCTGTAACACAGCATCTTCTTGGGAGGAAGTTACAGGAAAATGTATGCAGGAAACAGAAAAATTTGTTGACACGCTCCACACAGCTGATAAGGAGTAATATGATGAAGAATCAATGAAAAACTCTCCTTATGTCAAGAATGCTAAACTCAGAAACTGATTATCGCCAATGTGAATAGTTCATAGATAAGAAAATAGGGAACAGACAAACCAAGACTTAATGGATTTTGAAGAGAAAGAAAAAAAATGCTGAAGAAAGAAATAATGAAGAGGAAGGAGAGAAGCTGTCAAATTTTACAGTGAAATGATTAAGATGGAGTTTTTTCTAAACTAAATTAGGGGCTTCTTCAGTTGCTTGAAAATGTAGACCCAAACGCTGAGTGTTTTGCTAAAGCAGATAAGCAGATCTGGGAAACAGTGAGATATTACAGTGAAATACATAAAGAAAACAAAGACTACTCTCACTCATTTTCTGACTACAATCACCATCCGCATTCCCAGGGATAATGCAGAACCTTCCACAAGTGGAGTTATTACCACCACTGACAAAAGGCCAATGTAGTCCAACCCTTCATCATCAAAGTGAATTTTTATGTGTATTTTTTATGCACGTATTATATTATCTCTAATTCTAATTTTATAGGTAATATTTTCAACTCCCAAAGACAAATAAAGATTGGATGTATAAAGCTACTTATAATAAAAGGCAATAATAATGAAAACTGAGAAAGAAAAAAAAAAAAAGAGGTATTCAACTTACATCAGAACTGACAACAAAGTTGTCATAACAGAACACCATTGTAAACTAGGGACTACCTGTATTGTTTTAGTTCCTACACTCATTCAACAAATAATTATTACCCTTTTAGTATGTGGCCAGAAATCATTAAAATACAAGTGCTGGAGTGATAGCATTGAACAAGAAAAAGCCCCTGCCCTCATGGAGCTTCCATTCTGCCTGGAAAAATAAAAGACACAAATCAAAACAGTGAGTGCTATAAAGAAAAACGGATTAGGGACTAAAACATCAAGTGCTGATACACAGGATGTAACTATTTTAAGACAGAATGGTCAGCTTCTCTGAGGAGATAATATTTTAGCAAAGTTGTTAATAAAATGGAAGAGCTAGGCCTGTGAAGATATGGGGAAAGAGTATTCACTAAGCAAAAGGAACAAGACCAAAGTCTATGAGAAAGGAACAAGTTGGCCATGTTTTAAGACAGAAGAGATGCAGTATGAATCTCATTTTTAGCATGAATGAGTAACTGTCAAAAAAATACTGAAAAATGTTTTACAAATCACAAAATACAAAACCAAGTCCCATTTTTTCAGTTGTCTTTGTTATACAGTCCCCCAAACCCTAAAATAGTTGCATAGTCCCATCCAAACAACAGCTGACAGCACCACACAAAAAATGTCAGAGGTAAACAAAGTTACTAGAATAAAAGGAATTAATTGCAATATTCAACTAAAGAACTTTCACACCAATTCCAGTATGAAGACTTAGGATAAATTTAGGATAAACATCAAGAACTGCTTCATGCACAAACTGAAGGAAAGGTAAATTAATAAGGTAACAAATAATAGCTATTATAATTACTTAAAAATAAATGGAAAAAATACATTCACAGATTGGAAAATTCAAGACTGTTACAATGTCAATATTTCTATGTTGACCTGTAGATGCAATGTAATCCCATTCAAAAGCCCAGCAGAATTTCTGTTAGAAAAGAAGCTGATGGAGGACTTACACTACCTGACTTCAAAACTCAGGACAAAGAAAAGTACAGTATTGGTGTAAGAATAGACATAATGGTCAATAATACAGAACAAAGAGTCCGGATTTTTTATAAATGTGCAAAGGTAACAAAGTGGAAATCTTAATTTTTTTCATTTTGAAGCTAAAACAACTGGCTACATTTGCGGGGGGCCAGGGGAGAAAAAGAATCCTTCCTCACCATTACACTCAAAATGGATACTCAAACATAAAAGCTACATGATATCTCAAAAGAACATGAGAGGTACCCCTATGCTAAGAATATCTAAAATGTTTTTAAAAGACTGAAAATACCAAGTGTTGGCAAGGATGTGGAGCACATGGAACTCTCATACATTGTTTGTAGAAATGTAAAATGGTACAACCACCTTGGAAAACAGTTTGGCTGTTTCTTAGCAAATTAAACACAGTAACTCACCCTTATGTGTAAGTCTCATGAAAGTGTAATCCTCAACTGAAGCCTGTACAGAAGCACCCACAGTAGCTTTATTCACAATTATCAGTAGTTAAAAGCAACTCAAATATTCACCAATAGGACAGTGGATAAACTGTAGTTAAGCCCCTACAATGGCATATGACTCAATAATAACAAGAACAAAATACTATTAACAATAATGAAAACTCATGAATATTATGCTAAGAAAAAGAAACCAGACACAAAATAGGACAGACTATGTTGTTGTTGTTATGTGCCGTCGAGTCAGCCCTGACTCATAGCGACCCCTCCTTGGGTTTCCGAGGCAGTATCACTACGGAAGTAGGATTGCCCAACCTTCCTTCCGAGGAGTGGCTGATGGGTTTGAACCGCCAGCCATCTGGTAAACAGTCAATTGCCTTAGCCACTATGCTACCAGAGCTCCCAGGGCAGACTATATGATTTCATTTATATTAAATACTAGAACAGACAAAACCTCAGTAACAGAAAGCAAATCAACAGCTGCCCAGGGTAGGAGCAAGGCCAGGCAAATAACTGTAAAAGGGCAGAACAGACCTTTTGTGGAATGATGAAAATGTTCCATTATTTGGAGCATGGTGGTGATCATGAGTGCATACATTTGTCAACATTCAGTGAGCTCTACATTTAAAACTGGGTGCATTTTGATGTAATTATTATATCTCAGTAATAACAACAACAACAACAAAGTTGATTTAGAAAAAAGTTTACTTCACTTAAATGTAAAATTATGCTTTGCATGAAAATGAGAATGCATTAAAAACATTCCTAAGATTCAATGATGAAACAATAAACTGGTATCACTTCTCTTAGTGTTACACAAAAATCCCTTCTTTTATATTCACTACTTAGTCAACACCTACTTATCAAATGTCAAGAACAGTAGGAGCTACAAAGACAGAATTCCAAAACAGAAAGAAGTTCATAATCAACCAGACACAGAAAAATAACAAACTTAAAACTTACGTTGTTAACAAGAATGCTCCATCACCACATCTTTCCAGAGCCTTTCGCGCAGGAGGTTTTGCTGCAAATTCTACGAAACCTTTTCCTGTAGCTCTACCACGATCATCCACAACCACAACAGCTTTCTCTACCGGACCAAACTGGGAAAATGCTTGTTCTAGCAGCTCATTGGAAACAACCGGAGAAAGGTTCTTGACAGTTAAGGCTGCTCCATGTGTAGCAAAGCGAATTCGGAGAGGTCGGCTCTTCAAAATGGTGCCATCCAGCTCTGCTTTTGCAATTTCAGCCAGTGTTCTCGATTCCTTTTTAGGAAGAAAAATGTATTTTTTATAGATGATAGTAACCCAATTAATTTTTAATAGTAGCTTGCATCTAGAGGAAAACTGGGTAGCTTTAAGAAATGGGTGATAGGGTCACTGTGTTTGTGTCTTTCAAGTTTATTAGCATGTGCATTTTAATAACCATTCAAAGACAAATACTTTTAAAATATTTTACGTAGAAAGTTTCAACCCCAATGTCCTGTTCAAAAGCATCACTTAAAGATTAACCAGAAAAAACAAACTCACTGCCATCGAGTCCATTCCGTCTCACAGCAACCCTTCCTTGGGTTTCTGATGGGGTTGTTGTTGTTATGTGGCATCGAGTCGGCCCCGACTCACAGCAACTCACAGCGACCCCTCCTTGGGTTTCCAAGGCAGTATCAATACAGAAGTAGATTGCCCAACCTTCCTTCCGAGGAGTGGCTGAAGGGTTTGTACCACCAGCCTTCTGGTTAGCAGTTAAGTGCCTTAGGCACTATGCTACCAGAGCTCCTTCCGAAGGGGTATCTCTATGGAAGTAAACTGCCCAGTCTTCCTTCCGAGGAGTGGTTGGTGGGTTTGAACTGCCAGCCTACTGGTTAGCAGTCAGATACCTTAGCACACCACCACCAGAGCTCCTTACTTAAAGGTAAACTGTTCATGAATTATCAGATAGTAAATATTCAAAGCAGTATTGTTTTTCTCAAATTTCCTACATAAATTCCTACACATATTAAAAGAATGACTTTTGGAGACCAAGTGACAGCTGTAATCTTGAGAAAGTTACCAGAAACTATTGAAAACAGAATTGTCTACACTCTCCATGTTTTGATATTTATATCTTAATAATAAAAATATCTCATACCTCCCCACTGCCAGATAAATCCTCTTTCCCTTTTTCCTTTCTAGAATCTCCAATGTTCTTTCATATTACCTGTAAAAACTGCTGCCACATACTTTTAAATACTTCTGAAATACTTTCACAGGCTACACAGCTCTCATCATTGTATAGAGAAATAAATGCACATGTGTGAACTGTAAGCTTTCTCCACTATACAGAAAAGCAAGTGTACACGTGCACTTATAAACCAGAAAATAAATTCAGTGCTAAATCATGATACAAAACAAACTTCTCCTCACATACCCATGACCATATATAGGTGTGGCAGATGATAGTTCTACATACATATTTGTATGTGCCATAACAATGTCCATATATAATAGAGTTAACAGAGGGCAAAGTCATGATAAATTCTTAGCCATAGTCAAACACTTTGAAGGAATTGATGGGCCTGGAGGCTCGAGACCATGCTTAAAGGGGACATCAAACTCAACAGGCATAACACAGTACATACAAACGTTGTTCTATATCCACTTTGGTCGAGTAGCAACAATTGGTCTCTCATCCAGAGCAAAGATTGAAGAAAATTAAAGATGCATGGAAATAATTAGTCCATGGGACTAGTGGACCACGAGAACCTCCATTTATATGACCCTGAGACCAGAAGAACTAGATGGTGACCGGCTACTACTGACAACCACTCAGAAAGGGATCAAAATTGGAGATCCTGGATAGAATGGAAGATGAAAGTGGAAACATAACTCAAAGAAAAAAGAACCAGGCCTACTAGTCTAATAGAGACTGATGAAACCCCATGACTGTGGTGCCCGGGAGGAGCTCTGGTAGCACAGTGCTTAAAGCACTTGACTGCTAACCAGGTTCAAACCCACCAGCCACTCCTTGGAAGTAAGGTTGGGCAATCTACTTCCATAGTGATACTGCCTCAGAAACCCAAGGAGGGGTTGCTATGAGTCGGGTCCCACTCAGTGGCACATAACAACAACAACAACATGGTGCCTGGAAGTGAACTCACACCTATGGCTTAACTTCTAGCTAAACAGACAGTCCTACAAAGTGAACAATTACACCAAATGGGTACACTCCTTAGAACAATTAACCATGGGAGATCAGAAGGGCAGTATTTGCATAGGGAGAAAGCTCAGAGGGCAGGAATGCACAGAAAAAAGGACACAGGGAATAGGTAACCACAGGGAGGTAGCAGGAAAAGAACAGTTACATTGTGGGGATGGCAATCAATGTCACGAAACAAAATGTGTATGGACTGTTGAATGGAAAACAAATTTGTTCTGTAAACTTGTACTCAAATAGTAAATTTTTTTTAAAAAAAGAGAACCTTCTTCTTGAACTCTTCAAAGGTCTCATAGGAGTACAGGCATGTACAAAAAATATATAACTGGCAAAACTTTCCTTGTGCTATGAGAACTCTCTAGGGGGAATTAAATGAGGCATTACATGTGTATGTAAGAAGAATACAAATATACTGTTTTATGAAAAATATAACAATAGCTCTTTAGAGCCCTAGAATGCTCACGACAGCTTGTTAGTTATTGCCCTTATGCAAAAAGCTAACTACAAACCTACTTTTACAAAGACAAATGAAGCTAACCTTTTAAGAGATATTCAAATGGCCATTTTGTTTATTACCCTTACCTCAATAATAGTACTAATAGCAGCAAACATTTAATGAATATTCAACAATGGATGAGCACTTTGTAACTCATTAATCCAGCAACCCTGAGTGGTAGAGTTTTCAAACAAATTAAAATGCTGTCAGGTGGAATCATAAATGGGAAAGCATATGAGGAAACGTCATGGTGTGATGTTAATAGCACGTATCTTAAAAAAGCTTGAGTTAGAGACTTATACATTTGTGAAAACTCACCAAATGGGTCACATAAAATTTTGTACATTTCACTGTATGTAAATTTCAAATACCCTAAAAAACAATGCTGGATTCTAAGTTAATGACAAGCATGCTGGAGTGTTTAGGAGTCACAGATTGAAAGATGTACAGATACGTGAAAAATCAAATTGGCAAAATATAATTCCAGAATCTAGGTGGTAGATATATATGCTAGACATTTCTACATGTTTGAAAATTTTCATAATAAAATGTTTGGGAGTAGAGGACCCAAAGGTGAGGGGGGCTAGCAGAACTAGCATATTTCTAAGAGCACCTGCTATTCAGATTAGGGAGTCCCTGGGTGGTAACAAAGGGTTAAGCGTTTGACTACCAATCCAAAGTTTTGCGATTCAAATCCACCCCGAGGCTCCCAGGAAGAAAAGCCTGGTGATTTGCTTCCAACAGATTCCAGTCTTGAAAGCCCTATGGAGCACAGTTCTACTCTACAACACACAGGGTCATCCTAAGTCAGAATTAACTCAAAGGCAACTGGTTTTGGTTTCATGGTTTTGCTTTTCAGGTTCAGACAGATAGACTCACATAATATGAATTGTCAATTTTTATGTTAAATCATCTTATTTTTCAGTGATGGCAACCAATTCAATTTATAATGCTATTTAGACCAAATGAAATGTTTGTTAGACAAACTGTCACGAATTTTTTATACTAGAAGTCCTTTTTCAAATCTTATGCTTTTTTCATTTTAAAAAGGTTCTAAGTCAGGGTTTCTCAACCTCAGCATTATATATATTCTGGGCTAGGTAATTCTTTTCATGGGGGGTTATCATATGCACCATAGGTAGGATGTTTAGCAGCATCCTTGGCTACTACCTATTAGGAGCCAGTAGAACCAGAACCATCTCCCAGTTTTGACAATGAAAATGGTCTTCAGATATTACTAAACATCCTCTGGGGAGCAATACTGCCTGATTTGAACCATGCACTAAATGTATACTTATGAAGTATTTGCTCTTAAAATTTTTAAAAACCCTAAACATTTACTAGGAGCTCTGGTAGCGTAGTGCCTGAAGCACATGACTGCTAACCAGAAAGCTGGCAATTCAAACCCACCAAGCCACTCCTCAGAAGGAAGGTTGGGCAATCTACTTCCGTAGTGATACAGCCTTGGAAACTGAAGGAGGGGTCGCTATGAGTTGGTCCAACTCAATGGCAAATAACAACAAACATTTACTAAACTACACTCAATTCTAATTCTATCTTTGAAATGAGACCAAAGAATTCTTCACATCATGCATCTGAAAACAACAATGGTAAGATACAACTTTCAAATACAGAGACAAAGATCCCCGGGTGGCACAAGTGATTTGCACGCAGCTACTTATGGAGAAGTTGGCAATATGAATCCCCCCAGCAGTGCAGCAGAATAAAGGCCTGATGATCTGTCTCTGTCAAAATTTTAGTCAAGAAACCCCTATGGAACTCAGTTCTACTCTGGGATCGCTAGACTCAACAGCTATGGATTTGGGGTTTTTCAAGGGGAGTGGGGGTAATACAGTACACACAAGGAGCTCTGGTGGCATAGTGCCTAAGGCATCTGACTGCTAGCTTCCTCCCTCAGAAGGAAGACTGGAGAATCTGCTTCCATAGAGATACCGCCTCGGAAACCCAAGGAAGGGTCGCTACAAGTTGGAATGCACTCAATGGCAGTGAGTTTGGTTTTTAGTTTTATGGTACAGATGCATTAAAAACACACACGTGCGTGCACGCGTGCCATTACCCTCACCAACAATCCTATTACGTGGGTTTCATTATAATTCCCACTTTATATATGGGTAACAGGCCTGGAAAGGTTGAGTAAACTGCCCAAGATCACACTGTTAAGTGTTAAGATTTAACACCATTCACAATGTTTACCGATCCTGCCTTCCAGCTGGTGTCCTTGCATCACTCTGCCCAATAAGCAAAACTGTAAGTTCTTAATAACAAGAAATAATATAAGAAATCACAAGAAAATTAATGACTACCCCAAGATAGTGACCAAACTACAGCCCAATGATTTCCATTTCAGGGCTCTTTTTCAAAGCACATGAACTTTTCTCTCTGTTTACTAACCGCTTAAAATTGCAAAAGTACTGTTATAGATTGAATTGTATCCCCCAAATAAATATGCTGAAGTTTTAACCTATGTACCTGTCAATGTTAGTTGTTTGGAGTTAGGAATTAAAAGAAAATGTTATCAGTTAAATTTATGAGGTCCTATGGAAGTAGGGCAACTAT